GGGAGGGAGGGAGGGTTGCACTGATACATACGTGTGTGTGTGTATGGCTCATCCATGATGTTCGGGATTGTGTTGTGTGCACAGGTTCGTCCCACCATAGCAATGAGCCGGCAGGGGAGGGGGCCAATGAGGGTGAGCAGCCATGCCATCCATCCCAGGCACCCCGTCGTCCATCGAGTGGGTGTTATTATATTTGTCCCTCCCTCCCTCCCTCCCTCCCTGCAGGTCTTGAGATGGGCATCATGGTGCAGAGCAACTTCAAGGTGTACGCGTACACCACCTCAACACTCCAAATCAGCCTCCTGGGTACGGTAGGGTACGGTGCGACCCTGCACACACACGCGCACATTCCTGTCCTGACTGACGGTGTCGTGTCGTCATGTATACAGGCGCCTTTTGCCGGCTGGACTGTCAGCTGAAGAACTGCCTGATCGGCGCTTTGACGCGTGACAGCTGCGGGCAGGCCTTCCGCAGCGGCATCACCGCTCAGCAGATACTCAGATACCTCAAGACACACGCACACCCCGTCCTGCACGCAAGACACCAGAAAGAAGGCAAGAAAGCACGCACACATGCACACCCACGCACCCGAATACCATACCTCCCAATCCACTCCACCCCACACCCACTGCCCTATGTGATGTGTGTCGTCGGTGTCCTTGCAATGCATTGCAGGTCGTTCGATTCTGCCCGACAATGTGGAGATTCAGCTGCGGCTGTGGGAGCGGGAGCGGAAGCGCGTCAAGATGACCCCATCGCAGGTGTTCATGGGCTTCATGAACCGCGAGAACCGCACCGTCGAGAACCGGGAGCGCTGCCTGACGTGGTTCAAGCGGGTCGAGAAGTACGCACGGGACCGCGGCTGCCTCGTGTGGGCCTCCACACCCAGCGTACCTGACGCATCTGTCGAGAATGTGGTATGGACGGATGCCCTCATCGCCACACACCACATGCAGCTCTACAGAGCCATTCTCTGCATGTCCTGTGTGTGGATGGTTTGCCTCAGCCGGAGAATCATGACTTCGGTGACTTCATCGCAGTGCGTGCTGAGGACGGCGACTCGGTGAAGCAGCGGATCACCAGCCTCCGCGAGCACATCTTCTATGGCGTAGGACACAGCCATGGCCATGGCCACCACGGTCATGGCCACCACGGCCATGGCCATGGCCACCACGGTCATGGCCAGGCAGGCCAGAGCACCTCAGCTGCGGGTGGGGCGGGGCGGACAAGGAAGGCTGAGAGGCCGCCAATGGAGGGCGAGCAGCCGCCAGATAAACAGGCCAGGCGGGCGTGACGTGACGTGACAGGCCCAGCTCGTGGGTTGGGTGGGAGGGTGGGTGGCGTGTGCCGTGGTGGGGTCACTGGGGTGTCTGTCTGGGGGCTTTGGGAGCAGACAGAGATAAATGATAAGGTGTGGTGTGCGAGGGTTATGATTGGTAGTAGGGTGGAGGGTGGAGGTCGATGCAATGCAGACAGACGCGAATGATGCAGACAGACAATGAATGACGGGCTGGATCGATCCATGGATGGATGGACGGATGGACCCATTCATTCCCGTGTGTGACCCCCATCGTATACGTCCATTCGCCATTCGACGCCACCCACCATTGCCTAGCCTAGCTACCCGCCCATTTGGTGCGCAAGTGCTCTATGCATATCGTACACGCAGCCAAGCAGCCGACCTCACACTACCACTGTTAGTCAAACACTCTCTTTAGCCAGCGATCATCTGTCTGTCTGCCGTGTTTCTACACGCGACCTTATCTGTCTGTTACGTTACAGACAGACAGAGTTCCTTACGCGAACACCCACCAGGCCCTCACCTCATCTGCATTGCATTGCAACGGGGGATTCAGCAACACACAACCGACCAAAAAGGGGTGGCTTCCATCCATCCATCCATCCATCCACTCAGTCGTCCGTCCATCCACCTGTCTAGCCCGTCTGTCTCATCATTCATTCCATCCACCAATCACATCACACGCCAACAGTGAAGCGAGGAATGTCAGCCTCGTCAAACGTCTCCATCTTGCCCGTCATCAGCGCATACGCCACCCCCTCACGCACCAGCAAGTGGGCCGTGCTCCCGCGCAACTCCTCCTCCTCACTGTGCATCGAGCCCCTCCCCGGCCCACCATCACCATCTCCTCCCGCTCTTGCCTCCCTGGACACCGGCGATGGCACGTGTGGCAGGAAGGGGTCCTTGATCTGCCTCTGCTCGTTGGGCACGTAGTTGTGCAGCATGCGGGCGACCTCCAGCAGACTCTGGCAGCTGTCACAGCCCATGACGGGGTCGTGAGGACACCATGGGTACCAGCTGGTGGGCGGGCGAGGGGGGCTGCTGGCGGGCTTCACCGCAATTATCTCGCACTCGTCATCGTCCTCATCGTTGGGCGACTGCTTCTTCTCGGCCGCAACAGCGGCAGCAGCAGCAGGGCCGGCGGGCTGCAGAGATGTCGAGGCCTCGACATCTTGGTTGGACCGCAGGAGACCACCGCCGTCTTCCATTCCCGCCGCCTCCTCCTTGATCGGTGCTGCAGCCAAAGTGGGCTGAAGTGATGGTGCTGGACAGCTGTCTTGCGGTTCTTGCTTGACAACCACCTCATCCTTGACACCCGCTGCTGCACTCGAAGGCTGGGCTGCTGCTGCTGCTGCCGCCGCCGATGAAGAAGCATGGGGTCCGGAAGGGGTCGAGGGGGCAGCAGATGGATGCTCCTTCGTCTCCACCCTGACACCTAGTGCCGCAGCGGCAGCGGCAGCAGGAGCACTCGGGTTGTCATCCTCCTCCAGGTCGATGACCATGTTCTTGTCAATGGCGACACGTGCTCTCTCGTGCCGCCTTCGCCTCCTCTCACGTGGCACCCTGAGGGGCGGCGCAGGCGCCGTCGCCTCACCATCGCCGGCCCGCTCTCCATCCGACTCGATCACCAGCACATCATGTCGCCTCTCATCGGCGGGACGGTCAGCTGGGGCGGAGCGGCCAGCAGCAGCAGCAGCAGCGGCCACTGGAGCGGGGGAATGGTCGTCTTCATCTGTGTCGAGATGGTCAGGGTGTGGTGGCTGTGCGAAGACGTGCTGCGGAATGTCTCTTTGCGAATGGGGGAAGAAGTTCGCCGAAGTCTCCCACAGCCCCCTCTCGGACCGCCGTCGCCGCTTGCCGTGCCCACCAGCAGCGTGGACGGGTGATCGTGACCTCGGCGCCCTTTTGTATGCGTGCTGCTGCCGTCTCCTCTTCTGCCGCTTGGCGCGATTGGCCGCCGCGTTTGCGAGTGTGGGTGGGAGTCGGGGTGGCGTGACGTTCATGAGGTTCTGCACGGCGAGCAGCACCACAAGCTTCACATCGATGTTGCGCAACAGCGTCTGCACAAGGGAGAGTGACGCAGCGCATTGCGATCGATTGCTCTTTCGCTGGCGCGTCGTGTGGTGCGATGTCATGTGGTGCTTACGGTGAGCTCTCTGTCGAGGAACGTCTGCAGGCGCCTCTCTACCCTCTCTCGGTCGCGGGAAGTCGACAGCAACGACATGAAAGCCTCCGAGCAGCAAATGGGGTCCAGCACAACCACCTCGCCACCCTTGGTGGCAGTGGCGCCATCCATCTTTCCCTCTGCGGCGTCTGCGGCTTTGCTCTCCTCTTCTGCGCATCGCTGCGCATTCCGGTCATCTTTCTCCTCCTTGATCACTGCTGCTGCTGCTGCCGAGGTAGGGGCCTCGTCCCCCTCGTGGTCGCCTGCGCTGTGCAAGTGAGCCACCACAGCACGGGAAGCACGCACAGACGGCTTGCTGCCGCTGGGAGAGCCGCCCTGCACAGATGAGGGATACACGTCTGTCTGTCTGTCTGTCTGTCTGGTTGACTATGTGCGGTCTGTCTGACGAACCGTGATGGCGCTGCTGAACCTCTTCCTCAGCTGCATGGTGAACTTCCTCTGCGGCAGCGATGGCCGTGCTGCAGCTGGTGCCCTGACGCCCCCCCGCGGCTTGGCGGTTGTCAATGAGGTGTAGAAGGCGCTGAGTCGGCGTGTGGATGTGGCTGGCGGCAGGAGGGGGAACCAACCGTTGGCATAGATCAAAAGGCGACGCCATTCCTCATCTGATGGCTGCACGATGCCTGCAGGACAGGAAAGGAACAGATGGATGGCAGCACACGGACGGACGGTGATATATATCGCCTCCAGAGCTGTCTCCTTCCGCCTCTTGTCTGTCTGTCTGTCTGCTTGTGACCTACCTGAGTCGATATTGAAGACTCGGTAGAATCGCTCTGAGAAGACGTCCACGACCACCTCTGAGAGCCTCCTCTTGCAGACGGGGCAGCTGCGCTTCCTCTCAGCCTGGCATGCCACATGGAGGGAGAACCACAGAAGACAGACACCCACGCCAATCAGATTGACGCCTGCACTCAATCCCTCTTGTCTTCTCAGCCACCCCACCACCCACCCACCCAGTTCATCAGACAGGACAGGTGGTACACGTGGAAGCAGTCCAGCACATAGGCCTCCTCCCCGTCAGGTATCTCCTGGCAGGGCAGGCAGGAAATACACAATCACACACACATAAGCACTCCAATCAATCGCCGGTCATCCATTCCACATATTCCCTACTTACCTGTAGACAGATGGGACATGTGTGGCCGTGCTGCGCCCCTCCAGCAGCCGCCTTGTCTTCCATGCCCATCTTATGGTCAGCAGCATCGCCGCACACACCCGATGACTCGCCACCAAACTGAAACGATGGCATCATTCACGCACCTTCTGAACTTCTCGGCCTCGACGCCACCAGTTGATAAGTCGAAAGAAAAGCTCGCAATCCGGGGAAACAGACGAGGTGACTGAATGAGAATGAGAGCACAGCTGTTCCTGCGCGGAAAAACAATCGCAGCCAAAGCGGCTCGAGGATCTCTCGTGGTATCATTCCCTGGCCGCCGACGCACATCTGAGGAGGTAACGCAACGCACGGCTCAGAGGCACACAAAGGGATGGGAGGAGGATGACTGTACCCACAACAGCCGTTTACGAGCACCAAAGCATCTCCAGGCACTCACATGGCTCTGTTTGGTTGCCTGTGTGTCGGCGTGTGTCAGCGTATAGCAGCGACGTAGCCAGACGCAGCCATGCCGAAGCAGGGAGCGCGGGACTGGTGCGAAATCTGCCGAGATGTCGACACGGACATCAAATGTAAGGGCAGTGGAGGGAGGCCACACACTCCCACAGCTGCACATGAGTGGCGAGGGCAGCCAGGGGAGAGAGAGCAGAGCAGAGCAGGGGGCAGGGCGGCGGGGGGAGACACGACAACGGGAGGCGGCAAGGCGCGGGGGCGCAGGGCCACGGACGGGGCGTTTTGAGCGCAGAGAACACGCAGTCATGTCCCGTCTGTCTGTCTGGTTGTCTGTGTGTGGCGTGCTGATTGGATTGGATTGATGTGTGTGTGCTTCTCTTCTCTCTCGGTGTGTCAGGCTGCAATAAGCACTGCGGCAAGCGGTTCCACTGGGAGTGTCTGGGCATCAATCCAAAGAGCGTCCCCGACCCCAAGAAGTGGAAGGTAGGTCAGCCACTCACTCATCCATCGCACCGCACAGCCGATGAATATATGGCGCGTCATAGCTATGGTGGGTGGCATGGTCGGCTTCTTCCTCTTCCTCTTCGTGTGCGTGTGTGTGTGTGTGTGTTTAGTGTGAGGAGTGTGAGGAGGACGACGCCCACGAGGAGCACTGCTACGTGTGCAAGCAGGACGCCAGAGAGGGCACCCTCCTGCTGTGCGACGGATGCAACCGCTCGGCACACCTGGCCTGTGTGGTCAGTCAGTGAGCGGAGGGACTCAGTGCAGTCAATGAATGCACCATATACCTATATGAGAGACCTTCCCTTCTCTCATGCCCATCCATGTATGTATCCATCTGCCCACTCCTGGCTGCAGGGATTGGTGGACGAGCCCCCCGAGCACGAGCAGTGGTTTTGTGAGCCCTGCCGGCGGCGGAGGGGGGGCGGCGCAGCGCCCGCCACATCCTCTTGGCGACCCGACGCACCGGAAAAAGACCACAGGCAGGCGGCAGCACCGGCTGCTGCTGCTGGTGAGTCTGGCGGTGTTGGTGGTGCCGCGGAGGGGGTTAGTGCGGTGGAGGTTTCGCCTGCCGCCGCTCCACCTGCCGACGGCCTCAAGAACACATACTGCCACATGTGCCAGAGAGGTACGTGGCGGCAGATGAGCACAGGAAGGCTGCATTGATTGCATTCGGTTGGGTGTGTGTGTTTGTGTGCGTGTATGTGACTCACGTAGGGGGCAAGTTGATCGCGTGTGACTTTTGTGAGAAGTCGTTCCACGCCCGGTGCATCGAGCTCAAGGCCGTGACCGAGCCCTGGAAGTGCCCGGTGTGCCTGGGATACGACCCCCTCAAAAAGGACAAAGATCGCAAGTACTCATGGAATGCATGGATAAATGGAGTGATGCACGCACACACACACAGGGGCAATGGCAATGAAATGTCCCCTGGGGCTGTGCTGTGCTGTTGTGTGCTGTGTCAACAGGAAGACCAAGGCTGAGCGGATGGCGCACAAGGAGGAGCTCAAGCGGGCCATCAGACAGCTGCAGAGGAGATCCAAACCATTCGTACGCACACACACACAGACAGACAGACACAGACACAGACACACGACGCCTCACTACTCAAGCTCAGCCTTCTCCCTCCCTGGCACCATACATACCATCTGTGTGTTGTGCTTCCACTCCACCAGCGTGCCGCCTTCCTGATGTCCAACTTCGACAGCATCAGACCCTTCTCAGAGAAGAAGTGAGCCAACACACACGTCCATTCATTCAGCGGCGCTGCACAACAGAGAGAGAGAGAGAGAGTCGTTCATAGTCTCTCTGATGTCTTGTGTTGTGTTGTGTTGCATCAGGGTGCTGGATGTTCTCCGGAAGGACGCCGGTGCGGCCGCCAAGAAGCCCGGCAAGAAACCTGGTCGGTCGGTGGGCTGGGCACATCAACCTAACCTACCCTGCACAGACAGACAAACAGCCTACACCACATTCCGTTCCGTCTGTGTTGTGTGCAGGTCGCGGTCGTCTGCGTCGCCTGGACGACTCCGAGGAGGAACCAACACCCACACACGTACGCACCAAGGAAGCTGCATGTGCCCATCCATGCATCCATCCATCCATGCATCCATCCATCCACTCTTCCCTTCCTTCTCCCATCGTTAAGCAGATACAGCACGAGTCTGATTTGGTTGAGGACTACTTGACCCAGGCGGAGCGGCGGGCGGCCGAGCGGTCGGGTGCGGGTGCTAGTGACGACGGCAGTGTGGGCCTGGGCGGCGGTCGTGATGTGGTGGCGATGGGTGTGCGCTTGAAGGACTACCAGAAGTACGGCGTCAACTGGCTCATCCACTCGTACTTCAACAAAGCGGGCGCCATCCTCGCGGACGAAATGGGTACACACGTTGGGAGGAGAGAAACAAAGAGACCTCCTGTGTGGGTCATGTATGTGTCTGTGTCATGTGTGTGTGTGTGTCTGTGTGTGGCTGCACATCTATACACACGTGTGCTGTGCAGGTTTGGGCAAGACGATTCAGACGTTGGCGTTTCTATCGTACCTGAAGGTGTGTGAGGGCATCAACGGCCCGCATCTTATCGTAGTCCCGCTGTCAACCGTCGGCAACTGGGCCAGAGAGGTAGATATGCACTTGCACAACACACACCCACACACAAACCGACATACACCCCACCGTCTTGTGTGTGGGTGTGTGTGGGTGTGTTGTGGCGTCTCACCTGCAGATTCGTCGGTTCACGCCTCACCTGCGCTTCACCAAGATCTGTGGCGGCGCGGCCGAGAGGGACTGGATGATCCTCGATGAAGGTCACACATCCACCCGCCACAACAGACACACCACACCACACCACACCCCACCTCATTCCTGTCTGGTGTGTCTGTCTGTCTGTGGCGTCTGTGTGTGTGTGTTGTCCGATTCATTCAGATGCGCAGTACGGCTACTACGACATCTACATCACCTCCTACGAGACGGTCAAGACGGAGGAGCGCTTCTTCGCCGACGATCTCACATGGAACTGCATCGTGCTTGGTGGGGACAACAGACACACACGTAGCGCAGGCTGCGTGTCTGTCTGTATGGCTGCGGCTGTCTGTATTTCTGTCACTGTGTGGGCATGGTTGTGAGTGCAGATGAGGCCCACCGCATCAAGAGTGAGAAGGGGTCCGTCCGGCACTCACTCGATCGCGTGACGAGCTGTGCCAGGATACTCCTCACAGGTGGGGACAGGGAGGGAGCGAGGGAGGGAGGCAGGCACCACACACACACACACACACACACAGACAGGCACAGAAAGAACAAACAGCTCCACAGACACGTGAGCGCACCAACGGATGGCTGCATCGATGCGTCGGGGTGTGTGTGTGTGTGTGTGTGTGCAGGGACCCCGCTGCAGAACAACATCGGCGAGTTGTTCACCCTCCTCAACTTCCTCTTCCCCGACGTCCTCACAGAGAAGGAACTCTTCGACAGAGTACGGACGCCGGCCACCACACACACACACACACACAGACATTGGCGCACCATGGACAGATACCACACTCGTTTCTCCCCCTCTCCCCCCTCCCCTGTGTGTGATGCCGTCCATCAGGCGTTTCAGATGGGTGCGTCAGGCGCCAAGAGCATCACGATTAAGCGTGCGGAGCGACCCAAGGGCGCCATCAAGCGCAAAAAGAACGTTGAGGAGGAGGCCGAGGACCTCGAGGTCGTCGTCGACGAGTCGCTCATCAAGTATGCACACCACACAGTCAACAGAACGACCGACCGCAGCACACGAGTGCACTGACTGACCATCGATGCACGCGATGCGTGTGTTGTGTTGTGTTGTCGGACATATTGTGTGTGTGTGTGTCCAGGAAGATCGCAGAGTTGTTGTCGAGGCTGATGCTCAGACGCACCAAAGAGCTGGTCAGCCCTGCCAAACCAAAAGAGCAGCACCCTCACTCGACACATCTGTCTGTCTGTCTCTCTGTCTGTCTGTGTGTGTCAGGTGGTCAAGTTGCCCGAGAAGCACGTCCAGGAGATCTGGATGCCTCTCGCACCACAAGCTGCCAGACTGTAACCACACACACCACACCCTGACTTGCCCCTCCACCCCTCCCTCCATCCCTGTGTCTTTATGTGTGGTGGTGGTCTCAGGTACGGTCGTTTGCTGGAGGTGTCGCTCAAGAAGGAGGCCGGCACCTTCGGCAAGTCCAACTACCAGGTCCTGTTTGGGCTCGTCATCCACCTCAGAATCTGCTGGTCTGTCTGTCTGGGCCAACACGCACACACACACACACACGCACACACACAGACATTGGCGCATGGTGTTGGTCTGGTTGTTTGTGTGTTTGTTCAGTGATCACCCTGCCGGCGTGGTGTCGCGTGACAAGATGGTGGAGCAGCTGCTGTCGTATGAGGACGACCTCGACGAGCGGGAGAAGTTCAGACAGGAGATTCAGGCCATCAAAGACAGCGAAGGCACGCACACACACACACACACACAGATAGAGAGAGAGAGGGCCAGGGCGAGGCGATAAGTAAGAGCATGTGTGTGGTGTGTGTGCAGGGTGGGCTCACGTGGTGGCGTCCAACAAGATGCTCTACCTGGATCGGCTCCTCTGCCAGCTCAACCAGCTCAACTGCAAAGTCATCCCACACCTCAAAGTAAGTAACCAACTTGCCCACCACTCCACACACACACACACACACACACATCCATCCATCCCTCCCTTTGCATCATGCGTGTCGGTCGTATCGTTTTGTGCACTGCACTGCCCTGCAGCACGCCGACCGCACTCGTGTGCGTCACTGGCACGAGCGTGTGCACGAGTACATGCAGCAGGTCGACCCCCTGCTGACGGTCAAGGACGTCCACGAGACAGCCGCACTGCCCCAGCTCAAGAAGAAAAAACCCAAGTCGGGCGACATACGCGACTACTTCAAGCCGTCGGCCGAGGGTCAGGAGGGAGACGGTGGTGGTGGTGGTGTTGGCGAGGGAGAGGGAGAGGGTGGTGAGGAGATCAAGAAGGAGGTCGACGGCGACGTCAAGATGGAGGTGTCACCCGAGGAGAAGAGGAAGGAACACCATGCCACCATCAACCTCTGGAAGGTCAGCCAGCCTCTCAGCCACCCACTTACACACCACACCACACCACTCCCTCGTGTGTGTGGCAGAAATCTCTGCTGGAGCCCAGCGGTGACCGCGAGCTCTTCCTCTCCACCATGGCCATCGACAAGGCCGCCATTGTCAAGAAACACGTCACCGGGCCGCCAGGCGAGTACGCCAAACACGACCAACACATGCCACCCGCACCAGCACCAGCAGCAGCAGCAGCCGCCGCCGCCGACGACAAGGGCGGCGGTGGCGGTGGTGGTGGTGGTGGTCAGCGGAAGCGCAACGGCGTCCCTTCCGAGTCGGGCGATGAGTCTGACGTGGTGCTGAAGCGCAGGTCCCGGCACAGGAAGCGCGCCCGGCTGGACGATGACGACGATGACGACGTGGATAACGCGCCGATGAAGCCCACCGAGGGTGGTGGTGGTGCAGAGGTCGACGAGCTCCTCATGGATGTCGACATGAAGGACGCCCACGCGCCCGACGTGCCGCCCAAGAGGGAGGAGCAGCCTGCGGCCCCCGCACCACCGCAGCCGGCGGCCTCTGCACAGGCGATGGACGTCAGTGTGGAGCCATCCCCCAGCGAGCCTCAGCCGTCACCTGCCGAGCCACCAGCACCAGCAGCAGCTGCTGCCGCTGCTGCTGCTGAGGCTCCTGCAGGAGGGGCTAGGGATGGAGGAGACCAGGAGATGGGCGATGGCGGGGCGGAGCCAGCTGGGCCCACAGCGAGTCCTGGTGAAGAGCCGATAGCAAGCCCTGTTGGCGAGGCTGGCAGTGGTGTGCCGGCCGAGGGTGGGCAGCAGGGCGGCGGGGCTGCAGAGGAGGCCGAACAGCCATTCAGGTGAGAGATAGAGAGAGTGTGTGTGTCCGCTGTGCGCATCAATCATCCATCAGCCATGTGTGTGTGTCATGTCATCTGCCTGTGTGTGTGTGGTGTATAGGATGAACAAGGTGTTGGTGTTCACTCAGTTTCAGCTGGTGCTGGACGAGCTGGAGCGGTACTGCCAGTGGCGGGGCTGGAAGTACCTCCGCCTCGACGGCAGCACTAATCGCATCATTCGCGAGCTCGACATACGCGACTTCAACTCGGACGACTCAGACCACCTCGTCTACCTCATCTCCACAAGAGCCGGTCAGCGAGTGCGGAAGACTCACACATGACACGACACACATGGCACTGCGCACACACACGTGCATACATCGGTGTGGTGTGTGTCATGTGTTGCTGTCTGTCTGTCTGTCTGTGTGCAGGGGGGTTGGGCATCAATTTGGTGACGGCCAACCACGTGGTCATGTTTGACGAGGACTGGAACCCCTTCGTAGACATGCAGGCCATCGACCGGTCAGCCAGCGGCCCAACCCCTTCTTCGACACAGAAACACGCTCTCACTCCATCGCCTGTGTGTTCTTCTCCTCTCCTCCCTCCCTCGTTCATTCAGTGCTCACCGCATCGGTCAGCTGCGCCCCGTGACAGTGCACAATTTGGTGACCGAGTGGAGCATCGAGGAGCGCATGGCGTTCCGCCGCGAGCAGAAGCTGCGCCTCGACAAGCTCGTCGTCAAGGCACAGCGCGACCGCAAGGTCCTCGGTGACGAGGGCGGCGATGTGATAGCCGAGGAGGAGGAGGCCGCCGCCCACGACGAGAAGCTCAGCTCCAACGAGATCAGCCGGCTGCTGCTCCACGGCGCAGAGGTGCTCAAGGCCTTCTGTGGCGAGGACATGACCTCCGCCAAGCTGGAGGAGTTCGTTGGCCGGGAGCGGCGCGTGCTGCCCTCCACACTGGCCCCCGAGGAGCCCGACGACGACGCCATGCTCAGGGAGTTCGCCGAGGAGGGGGCCGAGGACAACGGCAACGGCTATAACAATGGCCGTGTCGGCCGCATCTCCACCAAACAGATGATGAAGGTCTTCGACGAGGCAGCCGACGTGCCTGACAGGGAGGGGGGCGGCACCGACCCCCTCCCATCGCCCCAGGAGGACGTCGGCGAGGCGGTGGGCGGCACAGACGCCAGGGTCCAGGCGGCGGCGGCAGCAGCTGCTGCCGCAGCCGCAGCACCAGCGGCCGACCAGCCGTCGATGGACCACACCCAGGCTGGTGGTGCGGCCATCAGTTTGGGCAACGTGGTGTTCGGCACGCGTGTGCGTCGGAAGGCCAAGGAGCTGTACATCCCGCCTGACTTCGTCAAGGAGGACCGCAAGAAGAAGCCGGAGCTCAAGCACGAGCACAAGTGCTTCATGTGCGGGGAGGGGGGCGACCTCGTGCTGTGTGACAGGTGCCCAAAGGCATACCACCTCGAGTGCGTCAACCTCACAGAAGTGCCAAAGGGACAATGGTTCTGCCCCTGGCATGAGTGGTACGCACGCGGAGGGAGGGAGGGAGGGAGGGGCTGACAGACAGACAGACATACACGTCGTTCGCTCACCCCACCCTGTGCTGCTGGGGTGTTTGTTATTATTCCTGTGTGCACCTCCCTCAGCAATGAGTGTGGCCGTCGTGCGTCCAAGGCTGGCGGCATGCTTATCCACTGCCAGGACTGCGCACTGTCGTACTGCTTCGACTGCTTCCCGGACGAATTCAGGTAAAGTGTCAGCCAGACAACAAGGCACAATACGGGCACAAAGTCCCCCTGTCTGTCATCTCCCCTTCCGATTCCTCCCTTTGTGTGTCCCTCCCTCCCTTCCTCCCTTCCCAAGGCGAGTGGTGCCTGAGGCGTCGTTCTTCCGGAAGCTGCATCGCAGCAACTGGCATGTCGACCCCAAGACCATGATCTTCTTCGTCTGCAACATCTGCAGGTGGGTGGGCCTCACAGACACTTACTTGGACAGACAGAGATGACATGCATGGCACGCACCTTCATGTGTGTGTGGGTATGCACTCGTTCGTTCGTTCGTGTGTGTGTGTGTTTAGGAGCTACCGTGAGGTTGAGCGTCGGAAGAAGATGAAGCAGTCGGAGCTCGACGAGGAGCGGCGGAAGCAGCGGGAGCTCAACCAGGCCGGACGAGAGGAGATGAACAAAGACAAGGAGAAACGCAAGTACGGACACACACACACCACATCCAACGAAATGAATGAACACCCCACACACATACACCCAGCCCACCTCCCTCTGTGTGGTGTGTGCCGTGACAACGGGTCGATCTGCAGCGAGGAGCGTCAGCGTCTGCTCAAGGAGTCCAAGGAATCCAAGGCCATCAAATCGGTACCGTACGCACGTCACGCGACTCGACGCCATGTGTGGTTAGACCATGCCATGCCTGAGTGTGTGGTCGGTTGGGTGGATGCGATGCCTTCATTCAGGAGTACGACAACCTGGGCAAGGACCTTCGCGAGGCCGGCGAGAAACTCATCCCCAAGTCACTCCTCGACGCTTACGAGGGGCGCATCAAAGCCGTGGTACGGACGGCAACAGACTCACTCCAACACCCACACACACGCAGACAGACAGCCGAGACAGCCAGCCTCTCTCTGTGTGTCTCTGTCTGCCTGAGTAGGATGAGGAGCGCAAGAAGGTGCAGGTGCAGGTTGACGAGTTGAACGGTCGGATCAGCGCGGCCAAGGAGAAGGGGGACGACACCAAGGCCCTCCAGGCCGAGCTCAAGAAGCTCAAGCGGAAGATGCCTTCCAAACCCAACGGGCCAAACACATGGATGCACATCTGCTCCAACTGCAGCTTCCCTGGTCCACCACACCACACCACAGGCCACACAGCTGACGTGTGTGCACCGCTCGCTCCCTGTGTGTCCGGTCTGCAGGCCACCGCACGGTCGACGAGTGTCCGTACGACCCTGAGTTTCGGTACAACAGGTCGACCAAGACGGACGCCGCCACTGGTGCGCAGCACGTCACCAAGAGCCAGAGGGTGTGCACCAAGTGCGGCAAGAGCACACACCTACGGCGCGAGTGCCCCCAGCTCGACGACGAGGAGCGGGCCGTCTACGAGCAGCGCCGCCGCCAGTGGCCGAAGCTGCTCGACCTCGTCCGCAACATGTCGCCCCTCAGCGCCCCCCCACACATCGACCAGAGCAGATTCGAGAAGGAGAAGAAGAGCTACGTCGAAGCCCTGGACAGGAAGCTCCGCCACCTCATCGAGGAGGCCGGCCTCTTGCCCATCAACACGCCGTCGTCCGAGTCAGCAGCTGCAGCAGCTGCAGCAGCCGACGAGCAGCCAGCACCGGCGTCCAGTGCGGCAGCAGCAGCTGTCGCTGCCGGAGGGGGCCAGGTGGTGATCAGCGACGATAGCGAGGACGCCAAGCCTCTGCAGGCCAAGAAACCCTCACCACCCAAGAAGGCTCCTGCTGCTGCCGCTGACAAGGGAGACAAGAAGAAGGCCGAGAGGAAGCCGCGGGCCGCCCCGGCGGCGCGGAAGGAGGGCGGTGGTGGGGGTGGGCGGAAGGGTGCCGGTGGTGGTCGGAAGGCCATCTACCTGGCCCCAGCCAGGGTCATGGAGCACTTCATCGGCACCATCAAGGAGTACCATTCGAGTGGCCATGTGGGTCGCCCGGAGTATCACGTTTTTCTGTCCGAGTGCAAGGTTGAGGACGTCCGGCCAGGCTCCTGCAAGCTGCTCGACTCCCACCCCCCTCCCCCTGCCCCCATCCCTCCCGCCGTCCCCAAGCCCAAACCCAAGCCCATGGCCAGCACTGCCGCAGCACCCATGCAGGTCGAGGAGGAAGAGGTCGAGGAGATGCCACCTGCCCGCCCAGCACCAGCAGCACCACCACCACCCGCCGCCGCCGCCGCCGCCGCCGCTGCCCCAGCGAGGAACCAGGAGATGGCAGACCGCCCGTGGGCGGATGAGGCCAGGTGAGGAGGCTCATGCACACACCACGCAGAGTGGGTGAGGCAGTGACCGTGTGTTTCTGTCTGTGTGTGTGTGTGTATGTCAGCGACTCCGCCGATGATTCGCCAGATGACGAGCCGCCGCGTGGGCCTGCGAGGGGTGCACCCGCGCAGGCGGAGCTCATTGAGCTCGACTGACCAGCCACCGGGCTGGCCCTTGGTGCTTCTCCCTCCGTGTGATGTACAGGTAGCCCTGCAGATCTGATTCGCGCGGCGGGTCCGATACATGGATGGACACACATGTATGTATGTCGCTGTATGGCTATAGATGCCAGTCAGTCATGTTTGCGAGCAGAGGTTGGTGCGTTAGCCATGCACGCGTGTGTCTGTTGTGTGGGCAGGTGGGGCTGGGTGTATTTATTGGGTGGCTGGCGGCTTGCGTGCGACACCGACGCAGCCAGCAAGCCGAAATGGACAATTTGACCGCTCTGACTTGGCGTCACATTGTCAGTCACATTGTGTGTAATTCAATGCCCATTCAATGCCCCTTCTGGGCTGGTCCATCCATCCATCCATTCACTCATCGTCTCTGTGCATTGCAAACGTGTCAGCATAGAGGTCCCACACCCCAATTCTGCCACTCGCCCCGCCCGCAAAGAGCGTCCCATTCACAGGATGAAACACACAAGACGACACCGCACCCGACTCCAACGACACGTCAGCCAGGAGCTGCCGCGTTCTCACTTCATGTAGCTGTACATGCCCGTCCCAGCCCCCCGCAGCCACGATGGCGCCATCCCTCCGCACACAGATGCACCCGATCCCCAGCTTCTCGCTCACGCCACTCGGGAGGCCAGATCTGTCGCCTGAGGTGCCGGTGAGGGCGGGAAACCGCGAGAGCTCGGCTGCGTGGGCCATCTCGCCGGTGGCCTTGATTTTGATGACGCGCGTCTGGCCGTACTGGTTGGCCACCCAGCATTGGTTGAGGAAGCTCACGCCGCTGGTGACGGGCGATAGGCTGCTGGGGAAGGCCAATAAAGGGCTGTGCACGGGCTCCTTCGGCTGACGGACGTCCCACAGACACACCTGAGAGTCCTCATACGCAGCCAGGAAGGTGTGGTCCGCGCCGGTCTTGGGCGACGGCATCAGCGCCATGCAGCTGCCCTTGCCGCCCCGATGCTGCTCGTCTTCGCTGTGCTGCTGCTGCTGTTGCTGCTGTGGCCTCGTGAACGTGATTGCCGGGGCGTCCATCGAGCAGTGCCATTCCTGTGCCGCGGGCAACCTGCTCCTTAGATCATAGAGGCCGACGCTGCCCACCTCCGCTACAGGCGACAAGACTGACGGCAGGCCGGCCGTGCCGTCCATCTCCCCAGAGAGCGGTACTGCCTGGGTGAAGGTGATGGCGTTCGTGACGACAGACAGAAGGCACTTGTGGCTCTCCAGGTCCCATAGCTTCAGCTGCCCCTCGCGGCCCTGTGTTAAGAGGGTGCTGCTGCCGGCCAGGTGATGGGCTGAGAGAGCCGCCACAGGTGATGCCTTGATGGTCCAGTCCACTCGCCATTCGCCGAGGTCCCATCCATGCACGCGGCCATCCCCAGTGGCGGACAGCAGCTGCGACCTCGCGAACGATAGATGGAAGACTCTCGCTGTCTGGCCACGGAGGACAAAAAGCGGCAGAGGCGAATGCCTCGCTGTTTCGCCTTGTGGCTGATCTGCATCCAAGTCACTGACTGGGATTGTGCATTCACTCCAGCGTGTTGTTGTGTGGGAGAGCTCTGTCGTCGCCATCGAGAAATCGGTTTCGATGGCTTCGGGTTTGGGTTTATGGGCTAGGGTTAAAACCCTGTACTTGTCCCAATGCCGCCCGCGGCCTAATGAATTAGGGCCGACGGCGCCGTTAACCGGAAGCCGTCGGCGTAGGACATAAAATACATCTCGACGTGAGATGGTAGAGTTTCGGGAAGAAAAAAAACTAGTAGTTCCGAGCTCATAACCTTTCAAACCCTAGGGGCTCGTAACCTCACACCCTAACCCTAAACCTTTTTGCGAGCTAAGCTTGCGATTGGAATGAATGCTCTGAGTCGTTGTTCGTTGGAAGATTAGAGGAGAATGTGGAGCGCGACCCATACGGCATGCACTCGGCGCTCAGAGGAGTGATCGTCTGAGCCTCTCGTGCTCCCTCGGCGGTTTCATCTTCATGTCTGGCGCTGGCTCACCGCCGACAGACAACAGTTTCCCATCGAGTGGTACAGAAGCACCGCACACAACCGACAATCAGTCATTGTGCTTGACTCGCTCTCGCTCACAGAGGTCTCATCTGCTGTGCTGTGCTTTCCTGTGGGCCGTGTTGGCATTCAGTTGGTGTGCTGGGCTGTGCCCCGACGTGCCGACGACGACGCGGATCAGCATGACGTCACCGCCGAGCCAGCCAAGGTTGTGGATGTCAGCGACCCGCAAACCTATCAGGACCTCGCGACGCCCATGCCGGAGACCAGACAGGAGAACGCCACCCTCTACTTATTCAGATCCAGGCTGTAGTATGC